GGCGTACTGTGCCTAAAGTGTTTGTGCAGATGGTATGGTTTATGCTGAACACCTGCTTTCCTTCTGGGACTCGGGTTTTGGTGTGTGGTAGGCCTGTGTGAGCAGCCCACAATAAAAGACCTGGGCACTGAGTCTGTAATGAGCTTCCCTGGGAGAAGATGTTTCACATGTGTTGCCACGACTCCTTCCTTCCTGGGGGAATTAAGTGCATTCTGAGTGACTCCACGGGGAGGGGACTCTGGAAGCTTGTGCCTGATTTCCTCCAAAACCTGGTACATGTGCCTACTCACTTTGCTGCTTTTGCTCAGTTTCTTTTTACTGCAATAAACCATAACCACGAGGATGACTATATGCTGAGTGATATGAGTCCTTATGGACAGTCATTGACTGGGGGTGATCTTGGGGACCCCAAGCCCACCTGAGGTTAAAACCTGGTTATGCTACTTAATAGTGTGTGTCCTGGAGACTGTTGCTTAACATATTATAGCCTTGTTCCTCATCCATAAAACGGATGAAAAATACCAACTCCAAATGGATATGGTCTGGGATAGTGAGGAATACGCACATAGTAGTCCTCACCAAATACTAATTCTTTTTCTGCTCTCTGATCAGAAACAATAAAATGAGTGTGAGGGGAAGATGGGCACTGCTGCAAGAAAGGAAAGATCTTCAGTTTCCTATTGTCATTTCCTTAATCCATTGAGTTATGTTCCTTGCTTGCTGTTGATCTTGAATATATCTATTAAACTTGGCCCTGTATGAGGGAGATATGAGAAGAAGCCAACTTTGAACCTCCAGAATGTTCTCTGAGGTGTCTTGACTAGCAGTAAGTGACTAATGGCAACACAAAACTTGAAGAAAGAAGAGCGTCATGATTGACCATACTCGAGCTTATGTAGCTTGCGAAGATGGGTCAGCCTGAGATTGGCACACCCCTTTGCTCCTGGTTTCTGCAGGAGGTATGACTAAGAATTACAGTATCAAATGAGTTTTCATGTCTGCATTTCACCCAGAAGATCTGTGTTTTACTTCAGAGAAATGTTATTTTGCTACCCTCCTTCCTATTAAAACAAGAAACGTGCTGCCTGCATAGATTCTCACACTTGAGCTGGCTTTAGCATCATCTGGAGAGCTTGTTTAAACACAGATCACAGGCCCTACCCATCGTTTCTGACTCCCAGGTCTGGGTGTGGCCTGGGAATTTATCTTCCTAAACAGCTCCCAGTTAATGCCGATGCTGCTGGTCCTCGGCACACTTTGCAAACCTCTGCTAGACTGCAGCTGCCATTGCAGCCAAGTTGGCTTGGGCTGTGAGACATCTCTTCTTTGTCAAGAATGACTCATTCAAGCACTTCATTATACTGCTTTATCCTGATCAAATGACCCAGGAATTTAAGTTTAATTTACAAGGCAAGAAACCCTGAAGTTTTTCTTTGAAAGATCTCACAAACGATCCATTTATTTTTTTCATGGGCTGACATTATAAGTCTTTTGTTTGCTCTCTTGCTTGGCTTGTATTAAGAACACCACTGTTCCTACCATTGTAACCCACTGATATGTGTAAGTGGTTTGAGCAGATGCTTAGAGAATAGGATTAATAATCATCCATATATTCATCCATCTGTCCATCTACCCACCTATTCATTCACCCATTCACCCATCCAGCCACCCTCCCACCTATCGATCCATCCATCATCCATCCATCCCCCCCCCCCCCCCCCCAACAATGTGCTGGTAGGCTATAGAGTTATAAAGAAAAATAAGACCATGTCCCTGCACTCAAGAGGTTTATAGTACTGTGATAGAAACTCCTCTATCTTGTCTTCCTTAAAGAAATTTAGGCATTTATTTTTTTTCCCAGTGAGTTAACAGTTGAATCCATTGGATTAATACCGCTGCTTACTTGCACATATATATTTCTTCAGAAAATGTTTGGAGAAAGCTGCTGATTTCTTGAAGTGAAGGCACAGCATTTTGTTGTTATTGTTGTTTTAATTGATTTTTTAGGAAGGGAAAGGGAGAGAGAAACATCCATGAGAGAGAGAAATATCGATCGGCTGCCTTCTGCATGTCCCCTACTGGGGATCAAATCCACGGTCCGGTCATGTGCCCTGACCGGGAATCGAACCTGTGACCTCTCCATGCATGGAACGATGCTCAACCAACTGAGCCACATGAGCCAGGGCGGCACAAATGTCTTTAACTCAATGCCTTTTGTTGAAGAGCATTTTCTTCCAGAGAAGCTTTTCATAGTCCCTTGATGATAACGACAGAAAGGTTTTTCTCTGAATAAGGGTGCTACTTTAGCGAAACTTCTGCGTTGTTATCTGGTATCTTAAAGACCTATGTGTGTTTCAGTGTCAGGCCAGTGGTTCTGGGCAAGATGGTTGTGGAAGGTGTTTTTGCAGTGATGGACCACCCTGACTGAGTCTACTTACACTGTGTACCCATAATCATTAGTGGGCACCCCTGTAAATAATTCTAGAGCATGTTCCTGGGGACCCTTGGACCAGGTACCATTTGGCCTGCACCACTAGGTGAGGTAATTTAGGTAATAGCATGTTTGTGGGTATTAACTGCTTGAATGGTTCCTAGAGGCTGGCCCTGAAGGGTTTAAAATGGTATATTTGCTCTGTGTCCCTTCATTCTGCAAAAGTATTAAAAAATTTACATTATAAATTTTTATTAAAATATATGAATTATTTTCATCTCTCCTTGTCCTCGTCTCATCTTTATTTAAAAAAATAGAGCTTTTTACTTGGTTGTAGTCATTATGGATATTCAGTTTTTTCAGCTTTTCTCACTTCACGTTATTTTGCAAATGTTCTTTCCTGCTCTTACATGGTCATAATGACTCCGTAATAGTCCCCGGAAAATATACCTTTATTGCTTTTCCATTTCCCATTGCTGGATATTAGGTCATTTCTGTATTTTAGAAATAACTAAATGATTTTATGCCTAGCATACACACACACATAACATATATACAGAAAAAAAACCCCAAGCAAAGTCTTTTTTTCTTCTTTTGAATTCTTTACATACATTTATATGATTGGGTTATTATTCTTACATCTTTAGTTACTCTTGATACAACTAGTTAGATTTTCTTCCCAAAGTATTGAGCCAATGTACTTATCTCCCTGCCAAAATTGGGCTTCATAATTTTTTTGTTTTTTTCCAATTAAATAAATTTTAAAGAGTACACCCCCTGGTTTGATTTGCATTTATTTAATTACTAACACATTAAATCCATTTTTGGTTATTTGACTTACTGAAGGAGTTCTGTTCATACACATGTTCATGTTTGTGTTGGAGACTGTGGAATATTTTCCCTTTGAATGAGGTATTTATATATATGCTATTTGTGAGTGTATGTGTGTATTAATAATATTTATGTCTGAGTTTCCTAGTGCTATTGTTTTCCCTTTAGTTAGGGTCTTCTAGTCTTCATAAATGTTGATAATATTTATAAAATTACATGTACTAATTACAGCTACATCTGGTAAGAATAGTTATCTTTCCTTTGAAATCTTTTCTATTACAAAAACTTTAAAAATCCTTTTTTTTGGGAGAAGAATGTCATTTTGTTTTATTCTAGTTTTTCCTATGTTTGATTTGTTATAGCTACCTTTTTTTGTTACTAAATTTAGATTGGATATGGATCTAAGCTAATTTTTCTCCATTTTGTTATTTGGTTTTTTGTTATACTGTATGATATTACATTTTATCTTCCCACTTATTTAATTTTTTAAAAATTTTGATCTGCATTTGGGGTGCCTCTTCTGCATTAGTGGTTTTGGCTTGGCTTTAAGAAAGCCAGTGTTACTGTTTATATGTTTTGAACATATTCTAATATTTAATGGAGAAAATCTTTTTTATTCATTTCTTGCCCCTAAGTAGTAATATTTTTTTGCTGTTTTAATTGTGTTCTACATACAACAGTATAAAAAAGTAATGAAAAGTTTTACAGATCAAAAGGATGTACAAAGAGCAGCTTTCCCTTCTCCTGTTCCAATGAAATAAAATTAGAGAAGTTTTAATTATATTTTAAAAATTCATTACACAGTTGATTGTGGTAATCTATTCACTATAGATACAATATTTATAAAATCATTACGTTGTACCCTAAAACTAATATAATTTTATATATCAATTATATCACTGTAATAAAAAATCATAGACAATATTACAATAATAGTAAAGATAACGTGAAAAATTCACCCATAGTCATCCTTAGTATTTTCTTGAAACATACACATAATTCGGTCTATACTTATATGAAGTTTTACATGTGTTTTTTTTAAAAATATATATTTTTATTGATTTCAAGAGGAAGGGATAGGCAGAGAGAGGTAGAGACATCAATGATGAGAGAGAATCATTGATCAGCTGCCTCCTGCATGCCCCACAACCTGGGCAAGTGCCCTAACCGGGAATCAAACCGTGACCTGGTTCATAGGTCGATGCTCAACCACTGAGCCATGCTGGCAGAGCTACATGGTTTTAATTATAGCTAAACTTTAGTGTCATATTTTAAATTTATTGAATTAACTTTATAGCACAAAGATTTCTCCATATTATTATATTTTAAATAATTATTTTACATGAGTCAGTAAACTCTATTCTGTTGAATTTGAGTTGGTGTTCAATAATTTACCTAACCAGTTTCTTTTGTTAAATAATCTGGTTCATTCTATCGTTTTACTATTATAGAAAATACAGGAATAAACTTTGCAGTACATATGGCTTTTCTTGTTTTAAGAATGAGTTTTTTAGGATATGCCACTGCAGTTGGGTCACTAGACCAACACATATAAACATACGGGTATTTATACAAATTGACAAATTGCTTTCCCAACTTGAGAATTTATATAAATTGTACAATGTAAACAGATACTTGGTGAATTTTATCATGGCTTTGCTTGTGTGTTTGTATCAAGCAGTAGTCACCTTGTACTCGTGAAATTAGCAATATTTACACTACATGAGTGCAAGGTGATGATATAATTTGTTTGTATTTCTTTGAGGTTGAACGTTTCTCCATTTGTTCATTTATATGGTATTTCTTGGGTGAGTTTTGTTTCCTGTTCAATTCACCAGATCCTAAGCATCCACCAAGAGCCAGGCCATCTGCAGACACTGCTTAAAGCAGCCCAGGCATCTCTGCCCACTCAGAGGAGGGGGAGTGGTCGATTCAGCAAGTGGGAGAAGGACACAGCTGGGAACGGAGGCTGCTCGGCAGCACGTGGTAGGGCACCTGACTGGACCTTGATTTCCCACGCCCCCCAGTCCATGAGCCCTTCCCGACTGCAATAGTGATGAATAGACCAGGTGACCCCATGAGGACAATGTAACTGCATGATTTATTATCTGCCCTGAGGTGGCCAGAGGCAGGAGGAGAAGCAAGGGCTCAGAAACTCTCTTGTGTGTGGAGGCCCAAGTTAATCTTTTTGTTACTAAATCACATTAATATTACTCTTTGAGGTATAAACTCATTCCCCAAATTCCTCCCTACAGATTCCTATAATAGAGCTAAATAGACTGTCGGTAGCCCGGATTGTAATTCATAGTCTTTCATTTGCAGGATTTTCTCACGATGATGTGAGGTGTGGAGAGAGGTTCTGTTGTCAGTGACTCAGGTGTCCCAAGCAGCTCTGATGAAGACCTCGACGTGGGCAGAGCATGCAGAACATCTCTGGGTTCTTCCACTTTCTTTCTTTGTTTTGCTCTTTCTTTACAAAGAGAGAACAAAACTTTTCTCGTCAAGACGGATCAGTTTCCCTGGAATCTTCCAGTCTAACTTTTGATGCCTTTCTCTCCTCACATAAAAGAAAGCCCATCTCTGGATTTTGTTTTTGATCGATTGTGTTGCATCTTTAGTAAGCAACATACGTTTCTATTTTCATCCATTTTCAATACCTTTTCTTTTTTTTTAACTCGTAAGTTTAAACCATGCCCTTTCGTTGTCAAACTTTATCTTTTGGTTTTACTTTGACATCATCTGTTATTGCCCTACCACCCTCTTCTTTCGTACCCCCTCGTCTTCTGTTATATGGAATCAGAATAATTTCATTTACTTTCATCTTCTGCAGTGATGTAGAAGATGGGTATCCTATTTCATTACCGCACTAGTATGTACTAGGGCTAACAGGAGCTCCTCAGGCTCCGTGGATGATGGGAGCTGGTTTGTGTGGGGGTTGGGTAATAGAGAGTGCATGCCACATCGGGTGGACAGTCTGAGAGCAAGGGCTCCCTGAGGCAGGAAATGACGTGCCACTGTGAGTTAGTGTCACCAGTGCCTGGAGTTTAGGGAGGAGGTAGTGAGAAATGAGCTGAGAACCAGTAGGCAGTCAGTCTTTAGGGTTGTATGCGCCATATTCATGAATGTGAACTTGATCTTAAAGACATGAGGAGCTATTGGAGCTAAGCCATCAGCATCTTTTTGAAATGGAGGAGTAAAGGTGCATTGAAGAAGATTTTCTGGTCATTTCTCTTGCTTGGGCATTTGTCCTAGATACACACTTAGAGCCATTGGTATGCGTTCAGGTTATGAGATGGACAAAGGACCATAATTTTGGGTGGTCCCCAGAACAGCAAAAGATACCTGCTACCAGAGAGGAGATTGATCAAGGGAGAAGGAGCCTCCCCTCCATAGATGACTGTAACTACAGGCCTCAGCCAGACTCAGCCATTCAGATAAATCCCCCCAAAGAAATATATATGGCATAGCTTTCCCATTGTTTGTTTCAATATAATAAGTGCTTGTAAAATCATACTGTTGGGGGATATAACCACCAGTTGACTTGGGCAGTTGGAGGCTCCCCCCCCGCCCCCCCCCTGGAAATGTATATTTTGCTTGCCTTCCTCAGGCTAGAAGCTGCTCTAGAATACGGTCTTGAGAAAGGTGGTGTTGAGACCATCTGGATGGTGTATGTGATTGAACCCAGTTAAGGCCTCTACATAAACTTTTAAGAGTGTGGTGGGTGGGTGTGGAAAACATGCTGGTCTTTCAGTCACCCAAGATGAGCGTAAGTTCCCTTACTTGTTAAAAATGCCACCTACCAATTTAGAGTGGCCTGCCTCTTTCTTCAGTCTCTCCCTGCCCTCCACATGGGGGGCCAGTTTCAGTTTATACCTGGGAAATTCGAGGGGGTTGTGACCCAACACATATATTTGTATTTATTTTTTCCTAAAAGCAGTTTCAGTATTTTTATAGTAGGATATGGGCTTCCAGGAATAGAGTCTCCAGTTGTAACATTATACTCACAGGAAACAAATTATTGATTTATAAATACTTGGCTTCTTACCTTTGTCCAATAATTGTTTAGGTCAAGGGTTGGCACACTTCTTCTGGAAAGGGCTGGAGAGTAAATATTTCCGGCTCTGTAGGCCATATGGTCTCTGTCACCACTACACAGCTCTGCCACTGTAGTGTGAAAGCAACCATAGTTACTATGTAACCAAATGAGTGTGGTTGTGTGCCAATAAAATTTTATTTTTGGACAATGAAATTTGAATTTCATATAATTTCCATGTATCACAAAATATTATTACTATTCTTCGGATATTTTTTTCCCAATAGAGAGCATTATGCTAAGTGAAATAAGCCAGTCAGAGAAAGACAAATACCATATGATTCCACTCATATGTGGAATCTAATGAACAAAATGAAGTAACAAGTAAAATAGAGGCAGACTCATAGATAGAGAGCAGGCTGGAAGGGGTGGTGTTGGAGGGATTGAACAAAAAAGAAAATAAAAAGAGAGAAAAACTCATAGATACGGACAACAGTGTGGTGATTGCTGGTGGGAGGGGAGGTGGAGGAGGATATAAGGGGGATAAATGGTGATGGACGGAGACGTGACTTGGGGTGGTGAACACACAATACAATGTACAGATGATGTGTTGTGGGATTGTGCACCTGAAACCTGTATACTTTTGATAAACAGTGTCACCCCAATAAATTTAATAAAATAAAAATAAAAATAAAAATACAAAACCATTCTTAACCGATGGGCCATATAAAAACTGACTGGCCTGGATTTGGGCCTTAATTTACTGATCTCTGGATTAGGCCATAATTTCAGGTTGTCTGGCTAGCTATTTACTTAACACATTGTGTGTGCTAAGTCAGTGCTACATGCTTTTCATGTCTCAGCTTATATAATTATCACGGAAACTTTTAATTATGTATTTATTTATCAGTGGGGACACTGAGGCTTACTGAGAGTAAGTCACTCACCCATGGCGACAGAGTAATCGTGTAAAGGTGGAATGACATTTTGAACTGAGCTCCACCTGAGTTTAGTTTTAATTGTAAAATTTCTATTCTTGACGACGTTACAGAGTTGTGGGGAAGACAGTGGGTAGGTAATCAATTTTGTGATTGTAATAGACAGTCATTATAATTTAACTAATAAGTATATTCCCTAAATAGAACAGATGAATAAAACCTAGTATGAGTTAGCTCTTGGGTTCTACATACCTCTTAGGAGTGTAGTCAATAATATCGTAATAGCAATGTATGTTAGGTGGGTACTAACTAGACTTATTGGGGTGATCACTTCATAAGTTTTAGAAATGTTAAAAAATTTTAAATTAAAAAAAGAAAAAAGAAATAAAAAGAAAAGAAACAAGAAAAGAAAAAAAGGAAACACCCAGAATGGTACCACAATTTGTCCTAGATGATATAGCTAGTCAGCTGAGCAGGTTTCAAAGCTCTTTTCAGGATATCGTGCTTAAATCATTTTGTTGGCAATGCATCATGAAAATATTACCCACATATTTAATAAAAAAGTGATAGTGCAAGAGAGAGGAGAGATTGGATATGAATCTGGCTTCATCACTTGGAAGTTCAGTGACTTTCAAGTTATTTATCCTTTCTCTGCCTCAGTTTCCTTATTTGTAAATGGAAGTAAAAATAGTATTTCCCTTATAGAGTTGTCAAGAGGATTATATGAGCTGAGGTAGTCTAAGTGACTAGCACAGGAGTATGTGGCCAATCAATGGGAGTGTTGTTACTCTTTTGAGCTGTTGGAAACTCATGCTGCTGCTAAATATTTTCTCCCCTATTCTGTATTTGTAAACTTGTTTTGGGAAAAAAGGGTTACACTTAATGGACTAGTATCATGTTCTATATCTTTTCCCCACATTAAAAAATGAAACTTCAGAAGAATTTCCTTTTGTATACAATCCTTAATAAATTTTAATGATTGGGGAATGATGCCTTTCAGGATGAAATATATCACATGCCTCCCCTCCCCCAAAGGCTTAGAATGAACTTGCAGTGCTGAGCAAAATTCTTGCACTTAAATTTATTGTAGATTTTTCAGATTTGGAAGGATTGTGAGTATATTTGTCTATGTGTGTATAGTTGTTTTTTTTATAATTGCTTGTTTTCTCTCCAGTTATTGATTTGTGTAAGTTTTATATTTCTCATTGGCTTGGAATTTTCAACTTTAATAGAAAATCATAAATTACCATTAGATTAATCAATTTAGTGGTATATAACTATGCATAGCATTCTCAAATGACTTTCCTTCATCTTATTGTTATTTCTCCTTTCTAACATTGTGCAGTTGTGTTTTTTATGTTTCTTGTTTAAATTTTCCTTAGGATTTTCTATTTTGTTAGTGTTTTGAAAAAAACAGATCTTATTTATCACTCCCCAAAACTTTTTCATCTGCCTTTTCTTAAACCATGTTTATTATATTGTGATCAGATAATTTGACTTCCATAATAATTACTTCTTTGTGCTTAAGCATATAGTATAATCTTAATTATTACTTTATTCCTTTTAAAAAAAGAGGAACATTCTCTTTTTATTTTCTAATTTTTTTTAATTCAGTTATTAATTTATTGTTCAGATCCATGTGTTTGCTTTTTAATGTACTTGATTTCTGTACTCTAACAACACAGTTGAATGGCAAATCATTACAACAGAGATTCCATCACATTCTCTACGTTGGCAATCAGTTTTTATTTACATATTTCATTGACATTTATTATTTGAAAAATAATCCATTCTTTGATTTTTAGTTCTTAGTATGCCTTTAACATTTTATAATGACCAAATGTAATTTGTTAAGTGAATTTTTACTCATACACTCACAATCTGGTCATTCTTACTTTGTAATTAAAAAAACCTACATACATCTTTTAATATTCACATTTTGCTCATGTGTAATAAATTTTGCTTTCTGATCCAGTCAGGAACTTCCCTCTCCCCCACCATGAGGTAATCATTAAGTTCTTTTATTTTTGGAGTAACATTTGGATCATCTTCTGTCATCTTAATTTTTATAGTTGTTTCAACATGTCTTTCCAATTATGACTGCAGAATCCAGACCATTGCTCAATGGCATTGTTCCTTCTCCTCCCCACCCCGTTTATTTTATTCTTATGGTAACCAGCTTCTTTCTACAAAAAGGCATCATTCTGCAATATTACCAAGCCACATTGATCAGCAAGCACTATTTCTATGTACACATGTTTAAATGTTTAATTACTTAAACCAGCAAGTTTTGTTTTTTAAAAATAATTTATAATAAAATTTTATATATTTAAGGGATACATGATGACTTGATATATAATATATAATATATAGTGAAAGGATTACTACAATCAAGCTAATGTAGTGTATCATCTCCTTACATAGTTACCATTTGTGTGTGTATGATGAGAGCACCCGAGATAGATGCAGCGAATTTCCAGTTTCCAATATGGTATTAGCTAGTGTCATCATGCTGTATATTAGATCTCTAGACTTATTCATCCTACATAACTGTAATTTTGTTCCCATCGAGCGACATCTCTATTTCCCCCAGCACCCCGCCCCTGGTAACC